GTCGAGACAGTGGACCAAAAAAAGAGAACCTGCTCCGAAGAAAGCGAAGTCAGTTGCATCGGCCAGTAGGGTTATGGCCACCATCTTTTGGGATGCGAGGAGAATAATTTTTATTGACTACCTTCAAAAGGGAAAAACACTTAGTGGGGAATATTATGCCACTCTACTACAACGTTTACAATAGGAAATTAACGCAAAACGGCCACATTTAGCGAAAAAAAAGGTGCTGTTTCATCAGGACAATGCACCAGTCCATACTTCAGTCATTGCGATGGCTTCAATTCATGAATTAAAATTTGAATTGCTTCCCCACCCTCCCTACAGACCCCATTTAGCCCCTGGTGACTTCCACCGTTTCCCAAACCTCAAAAAGTGGTTGGGTGGTAAAAGGTTTATGACAACATCGAACCAGCAAATAGTTATTTTGAAGATCTCTACAAATCGTTGTATTTGTTCGGGTTTCGGTTTTACCTACCAACCGCAACCCTTGTCAACAAGCGTCCCCAACTTTCTCTTCTACCTGCAATGTATCGCTTCCGATTTTAACCACTTTGTACATAGACTCCGAACCGTTAACAACAAGTAAATACAGTGTTACACAGCACATGTTTGTGTTTCATTTATATCAATCTTTTTCAGTACGTATGTATGAATAACAATCATACATCCAACAGTATTACTCCGGTGTAACCGCTCTAGAAGATCGCTGGGTTAAGTGTATCGAGCTAAATGGAGATCATGTTGAGAAATAAATAAAAATTAACCCAAAAAAACAATGCATTCCTGGTCAGGCCCGGCATTAATCACCCCACCCTCGTATCAATATAGAACAACGGAGATTTCCTAATAACATATTGAGGCACATTAAATTTAATAAGATCTAAAATTCCAGGACAGTCACAAATATTGTTTAAAATTTTATACATAAAACAGATTTTTAAATAAGTTCTACGATCATTTACTTTACTTAATCCTAAATAAGTCATTGACATGTCAGGAGATTTACGGATATTGAGAGGAAGACGACGAGATATATACTTGACAAATTTAATTTGAACTAACTCATATGTTTTGTAATAGGGAGCCCACACTACGCATCCATACTCTAGAATGGAGCGTACATATGTAGTATACAAAATTACCAGAGTACGTAAGTTATTGAAATCTTTGCAGTACCTTTTAATGCATCCTAGCATTCTGTTTGCTCTAGCTACTATGTGCTAATGTTGGGATATAAAAGAAAGCTTGCTATCCAAAAATATACCCAGGTCCTTGATCAAATATGACACTTTAAGAAATTTCCCATTAAGTAAATAAGCAGGAGTCGACGGTGATTGTTTTCTACTGAAATTTATTACATGATATTTGTCATGGTTTAAAATCATGATATTATTATCGCACCAGTCAGATAGTGTGACTAGAGCCCTTTGTAGACGTGCAGCATCATTGGAGTTTTTGATCATTGCATATATTTTCAAATCATCAGCGAATAAGCTAAAATCACAGAACAAATGGTTACCAATATCATTGACATATATCGAAAACAGCAAAGGGCCTAATATCGAGCCCTGGGGACCCCTGACGGTACACGCCGACTTTCTGAAAGGCAATGATTTAATTTGACTTGTTGTACTCGACCTGCTAAGTAACTCCTAAACCATCTTAACAAAGAACCTTTAATTCCATATGCGGATAATTTCCCAATTAGTATACCATGATGGACCTTGTCAAAGGCTTTGCTGAAATCTGTATAGACGGCGTGTACTTCGAGGCCCTTAGACATAGCCATGATTATTTTATTACTAAAGGGCAGAAGGTTAGTTAATGTTGAACGTTTACGAAAAAACCCGTGCTGATTGGTAGAAGATCTACATTCCCTGTAAAGCCTTGGAGGTACATTATCAGGTCCTGCCCCTTTGTTGGGATCTAATCTATCCAAAACATCAAGAACATCACTTAATTCAATGTACATATCGCTCACATTAACATTACAATCATATACTACATTGTAATTGTTTGATATAGTAATGTCAGAATACAAAGATAAAAAATATTGATTGAAGACTTCGCATACGTCTTCATAACTGGAAATGTATTTTTCACCATATTTCATGGGCAGAGGCATATCATTATCAGATAATTTATTACGAATGAATTTTCAGAAAGTACTCGGATTGGTGATTAAATTAGACTCAGTTTTTTTAATATAATCACTATAAGCTTTTTCAATACTGTGTTTACATGCCCTCCTTAAGCTAGAAAATTTGTTATATTCAAAGATACTCCTCTTGAACGCTTATACTCTTTATGAGCTCGTTTTTTGGCATTGATTAGATTTAAGATGTTAGGTGTAAATCATTTAAGATAACTTGAACTTATCTTACATTTCATAGGCACAAAACATTCACACGCTTGATAAATATGTTGGTAAAATATATCTACAGCTCTATCAATATCACAATCACATAAAATAGTTGCCCAATTAATATTGGAGATATAAATACAGATATCATTATAAGAAGCAGCTTTAAAATCATAATAGCATATCACATTACCATTATTGGAATTAACACTAGAAGAGTCCAAATCACAATTAACAACAAAAGGCAGATGACTAAAATCTACAGGTACAATTGAATTATCACATAATGACAATTCTAAATCATCACAGTTAGCAAACCATAAGTCTAAAACATTACCACAATTGTTCTTGATATTACTGAACTGGAGAAGATTACATAATGTAAAGCCATCACATATACACTCTTCTCGCTTTCCCGCACAAGCAGATGGAATAAAGTCATTATTATCATCACATGATTGCCATTTTATATTTGGTAAGTTGTAGTCACTTAATATAATAAACTGACAATCAGGCATATTATCACAAATTGTTGTAACTACTTCTCCATGACTAGAATATTTGTCAATAGCTATGGTAGGAGGCAAATATACAGCACCTATCACAAATGAACATACGCTATTATAGACCTTAACAAAGATTTGTTCAACAGATTCACAGTTTAAAGATATTTGATAACCTTGAAATGATTTATGCACTGCTATCAATACTCCTCCACCATCTGATTTTGTATTATTGGTATTATTTCGATCGTTTCTAAAAATCATATATCGACTATCAAGGATTTCATTGTTATTAATGACCGGGGATAACCACGTTTCTATTAAGACTATTACATCATAACTTTCACTTAAACACGCACAGTACACATTCTTCAGCTTGCTTCTTATTCCTCTAACATTCTGATAGTAAATTTTTAGCTGCTTACCACTACCTAAACTATCACTGTGAGCTACTCCTGCTGACCGCCTTTTGACAGTTTCCGTAAACAATGAAACTTTTTAAGTTTCAGTCCAACTGGCCAGTTGTCTTCACTGAGTAATTCCGGCAATAAGGATTCATTCGCTCCAATTTTAAAAGCAACAACTTTTCTATTTCAAATTTATTTAGCGGAAATTTATCCGTAAGGAATGTGTTAATCTCCTGACATTCAGTATCTACAGCTAAATTGCCAACATAGATATAATATAACTTCTCGGCCACTTTGAATGGGAGAGTCTCAGAAGACGATGTCATTTTACCTCTGATAAACTTAGGACCTCTTTTCTTATAAACGACTTTTTTAAATTCATCATTTTCATGATTTCCTGTATTGGTTTCAACATTGACACTGATTATAGGCGATTTTATGTGCTCTTGTTCTCTTGGCATATCTAAGTTAATAATTTTATTCATAATCCGGCTTTGTTCTTTAATTCTTCCTCAAACGATGATGTGGTGCTTCCACTTTTTGGCTTAAATGGGGGAACAGACGAACCTGCAACATTGAGTTTATCCAACGATTTCCAAGAACCTTATCAGAGAAACTAGTGTATTGCTGGTTGTCTGACATTCCTACGGACAGCGATGTTATTTGAGGTATTGATAACGGATAATTCTCGTGTTTTTGTGTATTATTTGACAATACAGTTCTTACAGGATTACAAGATGTTTTCTTAAACTGACAGATTTCCTCATCTTTAACCGCTAACTGATCTTCCAAATATGCTACTTTATCCTCCAGTAGCCTGTTGTTCTTTCTTAATTCCAAAATAAGAGATTTAAACAGCATAACGTTATCTTTGTTGACTTCACAACAGTCAATACCGTCGTTCTTTTCCTCAAGAAGAAAATCACAACAAAACTTTGCACGACCGGCACAACTTGGATGAAAACCCAAGCCATATTTAATACAAATGGGCCCAGTGTTTGCTTTTCTTTTACACACTTTACACGTTCTATCACTATTGTTCGCCATCTTAGTATCAATGACAGCCTTAGACTGACTTATTTTTAGTTGATAAAGATCTACACCATTCTTCCCTGTGCATAAATATTAACAAGATTTCAATTCGCTCTTCTCAAGCTTTTCAAATTGTGTACAGTTCTCAAAAATATAAATATTACTAGCGCCACTAAATCTAAAATTTGCTTCTAAGAGATTCACTTTTTTTTTTACAATAATCCGCATATGTATCGTTAAAAATATGAACACATTAATAAACCCCTACATCATTTCCACACTTAAGTCAAATTTACTTTTAAAAATTTTGGAGACAGATTCTAAATTATAGAAATTATTCTATTTTCAAAAATATTAAAAAAATCATATGGAAGTGGTTTAGAATTTTAGGAGCTTACCTTTGAAATTCAGTCAATTTTCAATAAAGACATAAACCACTTCAGTCTTCCCGACTCGAAGCAAAACTATCGTCGGCATTCTGATTTTAATTTTTAAACCAACAAAAAATGTATTTATTTTTTTTTACTGTACAGATTCTATGATCACGATTCCCACTTTTGACAACATGAGTCATTTTTATCTAGTTTTTTACGTAGTATAATTCATTTTTAGCTTTATTGTCGAAAAATGACACATATTAGTATCCATGTTTTCTGACCGTCGCTAGTTTACTTGACTGATTGATATTTTTTTCAGCATACACGTTGAAATTTGTCGCCATGGACTCAAGTTCCGACGAAGAAATCGAAAGATTAAGAGAGGAATTAGAACGTAAGATGGAACAAAAAAGACGAAGAAAACTAGAAAATTTGCTACACACACCACAACCCGAGGAGAATACTTCTTTTGCGTTAAAGGTATTATAAATTTGGATCAGTCCAAACTGTCCTCAAATTCATTTGGTTATTAATTTCTCTTTCAATTTACTTGTTACATTTTTACAAAGACAAGTACCTGAACTTCAATATTCAACGTAGGCAACATAGTATAGCATTGTATTGTATTGTATTATAATATGAAAATTAATTAAAACTATACAATTTTACAAGAGAACGTATAAAACGTATTAAGAAAAATGTAAAGTTTTCCATTTTTTTGTGCACCATGTGTTCAGATCAATTTTTTTACCATATGATGTCATCGTCTCGAAAATTTCATGTTTCTTATTCACGGTTCATTATTTCATCTCTAAGAAAAATGGTTTGAAAGTTTTGAAAATTTAGCCAGTAATTGTTGAATAATGTGTTAGAATAATTTTAACAATGTTTCTGCGAAAACACGATAATTATTTTGTTTATTAAATTATTTTTAGCGGACAGATCTAATAGCAATAGAAGACACTCCAAACAAGCAAGCTGCTCTATCTGAAGACAGTCTTCAAATTAAGGGAAAAACCGAAGAAAATATAGTTCCAGGGAACCGGCCTGGACAAGCAACAGATGGCGAAAGAAATAAAACTTCGTCGCATAAGGTAAATTTATTTATGATGAAATATACGTTTTGGCCGTTATTTTGTACCAGAAAAAATAACTCAAACAAGACTTGTCTGCATGTATATCTGCAAAAGCATAAAAAAAATTAATTTTTAAATGATTTAGAACTATTTTCGATGTATTCACAATGTTGATTTCTATTACAGGTTTTTGAAAAACGAGCAGGAACCACCGACAAGGGAAAAAAATACGAAGATTTGGTTACCGCTAAAGTCGCACTACAATTGGTAAGCGACAGTGAAATAAGAGATTTCCACATTTCTTCGAACGATAAAAATTTTGGTGATTTTGATGACGTGGTTATTGAAATTGAGACAAATAGCGGAATAAAAACAAAAGCACTGCAATTAAAACACAGTAATGAAAAAAGACAATTATATATAAAGCAGTTGGCAAGTAAAACGGGAAACTTCAGTTTAATAAAATATTTCAAATCTGCTCAAGAGGTTCAAGGCGAACTGGAAGAATTTATATTATTCACCACAAATACATTTAAAACTTCAGAAGAAACGAAATTTAAGCTAGAAGGGGAAGAGTTTTACGTGAAGGCCATTAAAAAAGCAATTTCAGGAGACGATTTGGACGTGTTAAGAATTTCTGAAAATATAAATTATTATCATACATTTCAAATCGTAGAGGACGAATGGACTAAACAAAATCCTGAAAAAATTCAGCAGTACCAAACATTCTTCGAGCGCTTTCGTCTTTACACAAACCAAGAACGTTTTGAAGCTCTTACAAAATCAACAATGGATGAATTTATTGAGATGTTTTGCTCCAACGAAGAAACTTTCAAGAAGTACGTCGACGTCATATCAGAATGGAGTATGCGAGATGGAAAAAAAGAAACGCTAAGCAAAAGAATGATGCAACGTGTCATCGCACTTCGTTTGCTTTCTTCTCGGATCGAACCGTTTGTTTTTGGTTCAGTCACAGACGAAATGGAAATACTTCGGGAGGCTATTTGTCTGTTCGACATTACGTTGTTGGAAAAAAAAGGCAGCAACGCAGTTAAAAAATTGTGGGGCGACTTGAACAAAAACCTTGACCTTAAGGAACTAAACAAAGTTCGATCACTTTATTCTCTTTCTTCTAATTACATAAGTAGTGTCGAAAATCTGGATGCAAATTTGTTGACACAGTTGCTTTGGCTGATGGAGAAATGTCCACTCATTTTGAAAGAACACGTCAATATGGAGAAAGCTATTAAGCTCTGTCCAGATGTAAAATTTATTATACTCGGCGAGGGAAAATATGACGAATGGATGACAGAACACTCTGTGTTTCAAAACTTGTCCAACTTAGAACAAGAAATCGAATTGTATGAAACAGTATTGCGAAAATTCACCATTTCTATACAAGGCAAAGAACCACGTAATTTGGTGACGGCTTTCGAAAAAAATAAAGAAATTTTCAAGCATGTTACTGTGGAAAAACTTTTAGAGATGACAAATGGTCCATGCTATATAGATGGAAAAAAGGAAGATTTTCCCAATCTTTATATCGATAGGTATTTGTCAGTCAATATTATAAACACTGAATATTTAGAACATGTTGATCGAAATACTGTTATTATTTTAAATTGTGAAAGTAATTCTCAACAATTGAATATATCTAAAAAGCATACTCTAACAGGCATCGAGGGTTTTTTAAGTAATAGAGACCCCAAAATTTTTGATAATCCAATTTTTATAAGGAGTGAAAAAAATTGCAGTGATTCTGAGTTCCAAATAATATGTTCTAAAACACCAGAATCCACAACTGTGCACTATTTTAAATTTCTCAACGATCAAAATTTAGAATGGATTCGAAGCAAAGGCTCTGTTGATGAATTGCGAAATTATAAATTGCCTAGTCGATCTAAAAACGAAAACGAAATTTGGTCTTTCGAATTCAGCAACAACATACATCTAATAACAGGTGACCCAGGAATGGGCAAAACCGAGTTAACGAAGAGTCTAAAAAATAACTGTTGTGCGAGATATTGGACCGTGATTCTGAGTGCTCAAGATGTTATGTCTTTCTTTAAAAATTCACTAAAGTCTGAAAAATCAGCAGACTTACAATTCGAGACATTTATTTTAAACGAAAAATACCGAGACCTCACTGGGTTGGATCGAGAATTCTTTACAATGTGTTTAAAGCAACGAAATGTGGTTTATGTATGGGACGCTCTTGATGAAATATTTACTCACTATTTAAATGGTACTTTAGACCTCATTCTCATGTTATCACAAAAAGGTTGCATTCAGTGGGTTACTGCAAGGCAACATTTGAGATCTTCTCTTGAAGAAAAATTTCATACGCTGTCAGTGAGTATCAATCAGTTCAACGAACTCGAGCAAGAAGATTATATTAAGAAACGTCTTAACAGTTTTATTGCGTCTGAAGGATTGAAACCAATCATCGACAAAATTAAATCCACGTTTGCATTTACAAAACATATAGATATATTGGGAATCCCTCTTCAAATTTTTATGCTTACAGACGTATTACTTAAAAACAAGGAAAACTATTTAGACTTATTAAACAATAAATTTCTCCTGACTGACATGTATCGTTACTTTATTGAAGGAAAATTTAAGTTTTTCTACGGAGATAAAGTGCCCGTAAACTATGATTATTGGGAAGAAGAAGTAAAGAAAAAAAAGGAAGAGAAATTAACACAGTATGAAAAGTTGGCGCTCAAAGTAATATTTCCTGAAGATGTTTTGAAACAATTAAAGATAGATTGTTCTCAAGATATAGATTCTGTTTCTGAAGATTTCGCAACTATTGGTATCGTGACTGGGCTACCAAAGGGCATTCCGCAATTTGCACATGCTTCATTTGCCGAATATTTTGTAGCTTTATATTTTTCTAAAAATTTTAGAATGGCACGCAGAGACATATTTTTTGATCAAAAGTATAACAATGTACGCTTTTTCTTCGACATGATAACTGGCAAAGATTCACCGGTTCACATCGCGATTTTATACAGAAACTTTGATGAAGTGGAGAACTTTGACGACGAAGTAATAAAACGTAAAGATGAGTGTGGAAGAAATGCCTTACATCTCATCTGTTCTTGGGGACAACGACAAGGACGTTTAAATGTTCAACATCAAAACAAGAGTTATGTTATCAAGACAAATCGGGAGATTATGCGTAGTTCGTTAGAAACGAAACAATATTTTAAAGCGTTATTGTTTTTATTAGACAAATGTGAAATATTAGAAAAAGATTTTCTACATCAACTCACACCCTTAGCATGGGCACAAGAAAGTGAAAGTTTGGGAGCGGAACTGGAATTATTACAAACACGTAAATTACAATTGGAAGATTCGTATAGTCGAACAGACAAAATTAATATTTTATTTTTTGTCGCTTTGCACGGATACGCAGAAGCGTTTAAAATATTATTTTCATCTTCGAGTATTTCTAATAATGAAGTAAATTTTAGTGTTGAATTCGATGGTAGTACGCCTCTTATAATAGCTTCTCGAGAGGGGCACGAAACAGTTGTCGAATGCCTGGTGAAATGCGGAGCCGAAATCAATCGCGCTGATAAATATGGTTGGACACCGCTTTACGAAGCTTCCTCTCAAGGTCACGAAAAAATTGTCGAATGCCTGGTGAAATGCGGAGCCGAAATCAACAGCCCTAATAAAAATGGTCAGACACCGCTTTACGCAGCTTCCTCTCAAGGTCACGAAAAAATTGTCGAATGCCTGGTGAAATGCGGAGCAAAAATTAATCCAGCTAATACATATGAAAACACATTGTTGTACGCAGCTTGCTCGAAAGGTCACGAAAAAATTGTCGAATGCCTGGTGAAATCCGGAGCTGAAATCAATCGTGCTACTAATGATGGTGTGACCCCGCTTTACGCAGCTTCCCTTCGAGGTCACGAAAAAATTGTCGAATGCCTGGTGAAATGCGGAGCCGAAATCAATCGCGCCGATGAAGATGGTTGCACACCGCTTTACGCAGCTTCCTATCAAGGTCACGAAAAAATTGTCGAATGCCTGGTGAAATGCGGAGCCGAAATCAATCGCGCTGATAAATATGGTTGGACACCGCTTTACGCAGCTTCCTCTCAAGGTCACGAAAAAATTGTCGAATGCCTGGTAAAATGCGGAGTCGAAATCAATCGCGCTGATGAATATGGTTGCACACCGCTTTACGCAGCTTCCTCTCAAGGTCACGAAAAAATTGTTGAATGCCTGGTGAAATGCGGAGCCGAAATCAATCGCGCTGATGAATATGGTTGCACACCGCTTTACGCAGCTTCCTCTCAAGGTCACGAAAAAATTGTTGAATGCCTGGTGAAATGCGGAGCCGAAATCAATCGCGCTGATGAATATGGTTGCACACCGCTTTACGCAGCTTCCTCTCAAGGTCACGAAAAAATTGTCGAATGCCTGGTGAAATGCGGAGCCGAAATCAATCGCGCTGATGAATATGGTTGCACACCGCTTTACGCAGCTTCCTCTCAAGGTCACGAAAAAATTGTCAAATGCCTGGTGAAATGCGGAGCAAAAATTAATCCAGCTAATACATATGAAAACACATTGTTGTAAGCAGCTTGCTCGAAAGGTCACGAAAAAATTGTCGAATGCCTGGTGAAATGCGGAGCCGAAATCAATCGCGCTGATAATTATGGTTGCACACCGCTTTCCGTAGCTTCCTCTCAAGGTCACAGAAAAATTGTCGAATACCTAGTAAAATGTGGAACAAAACCTTTCGTTTAATAAAATGAATAATAATGGTTCAACTCGAATGGTCACCAAAAATCTGTCGAATGATTAGTTCAACGGTGATCCAAAACTCCTCTACGCCGGGCCAGACTTTCAATATTTTATTACCATCCGCCGCCTCATTTTTTTATTGTTATTTTGTTGATCATATCAGGGACGGTAATTTTGCTCTATCTATTAAAAACAATGTTACCTTAACCTTTGAGAGATATAACTACATACTTTAATTATAGGACTTATATTAATAAAAATTGGTCTAAAGAGTTTAGACAGTACTTCCCTCGCTGTTGGAAACGTGACGACTGCATGCCTATTATGTTTTCTTTTCGCAGTCTATTTCAAAACATTCGGTTTTGTAGTTCCTGAGTAAATCAATAAAATAAATTTACGCATTCATTTTTTTTTTGAGTCATCCGGTATATGCAAATTAAAAAAATGTGAATGGAATTATAAATTACAAGTACACACTCATCATATTTTGTACATTTTAGACCGGATTTATTCGACAAACTTTTAAGCTGACGTCATCAAGTTTTTGGAGGGGATAAGCAAATATATTTTGACTAAACATTTATTACGCTTTCTATAACCTTAAAACATCTGCAAGATTTTAAAGCATTCCGTGTTGTAGTTCCTGAGTAAATCAGAAAAATAAATTTACGCAGTCATTAATTTTTTTGAGTCACCTTGTGTATGCAAATCCAAAAAATATGAATGGAGTGATAGATCACAAGTACAGACTCATCATATTTTGTACATTTTAGATAGGATTTATTCGGCAAGCTTTTGAGCTGACGTCATCAAGTTTTTGGAGGGGATAACCAAATATATTTTGACTAAAGATTTATGATGCTCTTAATAGCCTTAAAACATCTGCATCATTTCAAAACATTCGGGTTAGCAGATTCAAAATTAAATTGCAAAATATTGTTTTATAATTTTGTTTTTTTTTTCCAAAAATCTGGACGTTTCGGGTAAAAACTCAACTCGGATTCGTAAACTTGTAGTGGAGTAATTAATAAGTAATGTGTGAAAGAGAGAGTGAATGATTAGAGTAGGGATTAATGTAGATGTAAGCAATAATGTATGTAATAAGACTAATAAGAAATGTATTAAGCAGAGAGTAAGAAGTTAGTAAGTAAGCAGTAAGTGTCTAGGCAACCAAGCGGTGTAAGAAAGAAGAATAATAAAGATATGTAGTAGTTAAGTGGTGAGTTTCAATAGTGCGTAACCTGGCTAAGCTGCCTACCCCCGGCAAGCACTACATGGCGATCCTGCCAGAGCACTACATGTGTAGGACTATGTAATTTTATACAATTTAAAACCCATTTATTATGTACAATTTTGAAATGACGTCATCGCATTTGTGGTGGGGATGATTAGACAAATTTTGGTAAGCGTTTTACCATCTACATGATATTCTTAATATAAGTACAAAATTTCACAACAATCGGTCCAGTACTTTCGGAGATTATCTGTCTAATAAAAATTCGGGACGGCAGACAGACGGACAGACGGACAGACGGACAGACGAACAGACGGACAGACCTACAGACGGACAGACGGACAGACGGTCAGACGGACAGACGGTCAGACGGACAGACGGACAGACGGACTCGATTACAACACTTCCTTTGCTTACCCTCGGGAAGTAAAAATAGAATTAAAAAAAAAACTGAATTTGTTCGACCGTATTTCAGGAGCGAGAAATGTCCTGTCTGATACCTTGGACCAATTTTACCTAGTTTGATTAAAATTAAAATTTGTGTCTACACTGTCTATATTATTTTTGGTAATACAGTGTTTTTCTTTATTTGTCGAATATGTTTCACTATTTGACACATTTTTCCCGTATTTGCCTTTTTGATATCATATGCCCAAAGTAATTCTCTTTGTCAAAATTCTTTCAATTTATCGCAAATATGTCAATCTATAATCATGAAATACCTGTAACAAATTATTTAAGTTCAAAATTTCATTTCTGTTTAGGCAATCCCCACAAATTATTGCGTCAAAAGCATTGTGTACTTGGATATTGGATATTTAATTCGTCTTCGTTTCTAAGATGACTTCTTTTAATAATCACTTTCCTCTGATTAAACAGTTTCCCAATTAGGTTTGATCTGTAGATATCAAATGGGGCTGCACACGTCATTACCACTCTTCGACCTAGTTTTGAGATACTGTGTTAAGAAAAGTCCTAAAAACTCCATGTGTTTGTATCAATCGTTGAATTTCTTCAGTTCTGTGAAATCTTACATTGTTCATTAAAATATGTCCGTGCGCCTCTAAAATTGTCTTCTTGTAAGTGATTCAATAGGGTTTTAAAAAATCGTAATCGACTAATTACGACCTGTCAGCTGACCTTTAACTTTGTTTGCGCTACAGTTATTGGGTGTGCTTCCGTAAGATTTAAACACAGTCTTCATCAATCCAATTGCATATTTGTTCTTTCTGTTGTTCAGTTAAATTTTTCGGGCGCTGCCCAGCACTTATTTCTTCACTTGATTAGTCGAGTAAATTTTTCTAACAGTTTGGTTGGATATTAAAGTGCTGTCCACATTGGCTGATTTGCGATGAAATTGTTTTGTTAAAGATAAGAAACTGTTTTGACAGAAGGTAAAACAATTTGAGAAACATGGCGCACCATTTAATAAGAGTAGGGAATAAATTTGACAATTAGTGGAACACAATTGATGAAAGACCAAAATCAAAAGAAAAACACTATTTTATGATGTACATCTTTGTATACCTACATACCTATATCCTTCATCTGTTTTCAGATATTGTAAAAATTTGTATTGCTTATTAATTTCTTTATTTATCTATTCTTATATTTAAACATATTTCTGAGATTCACGCAATTTTTAAATATAAGTAAAATATAACCACAAGCCAAATAAGTCACTTTCTTTTATGGTCACATATTTCACTTGAATAAACTAATTTGACATGACGATTTCTTTTATAAATATTTTCTTTGTAGTTTTTTCTGAAGTATCATTTTCGGATTTTTTACTATCACCAAATTTATTTTCTTCTAATTTTGAACTTTCGATAAATTATTGTTTATTTTGTTTTGCCAAAAAGAAAATAATTTTTAACAGAGGCAATACTAAAGTATTTGAAGTATACACTAAAAGCTACTTATAATTTTTTATAATATATATAATAATATATTATGACGTGCAAGTCACTTACATTGTGATTAGTACCCAAATCTAACTTACTATAAAACCAAATATTTAATTTAATTAATTTTTCCTAGCAAACTCTCAAGCTGTTTTCGAGTACAATTGAAAATATCAAAATCATGTGGCAAGCTATTTATTTGTCTCATAATACTAGTAGTTGGCGTATTATAACCATAATTGGTTCTGTGTGAATCTACAACCACTAACTCTTGACATCGAGTAGAATGAGACGGTACTCTAAAATTGAATTTGGTCATAAGTTCATTGGAATCGATCAGGTTGTGTGGCAAATTAAAACCAAACGTTATTTCAAAATTACGACGACGTACTTCTAAGGACTGAAGTCCTATAAGCCTTAAGCGTTCTTGATGTATTATTTTGTTTTTATCTATTTTCATGTTTAATAATAAAAAGTTTACAAAGCGTTTCTGAACTCTTTCAAGCCGATTTATATAAATATTGTAATCGGGGTTCCAGATTATGCAGTTATATTCTAGGATAGGACGGACCAAAGAACAATAAATTTTCATAATAGCTATGTAATTTTTAAAATCTCTGCATTGTCTTTTTATGAATCCGCACAATTGGTTTGATTTTTTAATTATGTTTTCTATATGTTCACTAAAAGATAGGTTTGTATTGAATGTCACACCAAGATCGGAAACACTATTGGTCCTTAGGAGCTTATTATTATCAACATAATAATCTTTTAAATAAGGATCTTTTTTTGATGCAAAGGTAATAACTTTACATTTTCCACTATTCAGATACATGAAATTTTTTCCACACCAAAACTGTAGGGCTATCAGCTCACTCTGAATTTTAATATGATTACTTTCATCTTGAATTTTTAAAAACAATTTCAAATCATCCGCGAATAAGAGATATTTACAGTGGGTGGAATATTGGGTTAAGTCGTTTAGATAAAGAAGAAACAAAATCGGTCCTAGATGACTTCCTTGGGGTACTCCAGAGGATACTTTAATTTCTTTGGAAAGATGGCCATTGACATTTATATATTGTGTTCGTTCTTTTAGATAAGATTTTAACCACTGAAAGACCTTGCCCCCTACGCCATAATTTACAAGTTTATTTAACAGTAATTCAATATTGATTCGATCGAAAGCTTTGCTAAAGTCAGCATAGATTGTGTCTACTTGATAACCTGCTTCGACTGCTTTATTTATGAAACTTTGATAAACTAACAAATTTGAAGTTGTGCTTCGTTTCGGGAAAAATCCATTATTTTGATAGTGTCCCAAATTTTAATTAGTTGACGACCACACTTTAACTTAATCGGTCACTTTTTTACCAAAACTTTTCAACTATATTTTCAGCCAAACTCAGCTAAGCTCCAACTTTTACTTAGGTGAGTCATCATCTAAATATATTTGGCGTTATGTAATTATGAAATTTCAGTACAAATGTTTTTCGTGAGGCCTTTACAACAATACGAAGAGAACTGCAGCAAAAACTAGCGTACTTCCTACTATCCAATTTGAAAAATGCAAACAAAACACATAAACTAAGGTAAGTAAAAATATTTTGAAATTAACTTTATAAATTTGATTTAACATTTCAGTACAGGTGTTTCCATAACTTTTAAAAAAATTGGAAACAAAACTTCTGTTATTCGTCAAGAACTAATTTGGAACGATGTTTTGAAAAATACTTCCGCTTTAAAAATACGTAAATTTGCCTACCAAAGTACTTATTTTATTTATCACATTTTGCATAATAGACATTTCCTGCGTACTAGAACAACGAATTTAAAAACAGCAACTCGCGTTGTAATTTCGCATCTTCACAAAATATAGGTATCTTAGGCAGAATCAGATGTCTAACCTCAAGTTTTAACAAATGGGTTTAATACCGCTAACTGACCTGGACAATATCAACAGAAGAGCGTTTTAAGGTAACTTTTATTATCTTAAAATTTCCCAATATCACAAAATATTTAAAATTTCAGCAAAACACACGCTAAACGAATTCCAAACCAGAGAAATTAGGCGCAATTCCTGCACCATCAGCCGGAACTTCATCTTGTCATCGTAGAAGCTACAATTTGTCCATACATTCCGAAATCACTGCATAGAAAACAGTATGGTGCGATAGAAAATCATCTTAATCAATGTCATATTATTTACATGGGCAAACCGTTCGCAGGTAACATCATTTAACATATTAATAACGCATTCACTTTGATTGAGATAGTTTTCCATCGCACAATTAATTCTAGTTCTAATATGTAATGTGATAATAATTTTATTATTTGCAAGTAGTCTTGTAAATGGTTGCTCCAATGTATAATTTATTTCGTCTGTGTGTGTCTTTTTTGTCAAGATCGCTCAACGGATGCAGCATTAATGTCTAACAAATGTCAGCGCTAGATTCGTTGTTCCCGCATTCAGGACGCGTTTTTGTATTTGCATCTGTTCGACGCTTAGAGTACAAAATATTTAAAAATTTTGAAATGTAAAGTGCCATGATACCTTTTAACTACTTAAGTACTTGTACTCAGAATTGGCAAAAAACGACGTCAAGGCTGTTTTCCATCGTCGAATATTTTTCTCACTACATAGATCCACTCAGGTTGCATAACTAAAATTAACATTTTGCACCAAATCGTGGTTCTCTTGGAGCGTCGATGCGGCTTGTGGTTTAACTTTGTTCATAGTGTTTTAAACATTTCACAACGATTTTCCATAAACATCCTCTTTTGACAAACTGACAAAGTTTGTTTCAGAGAGGAAGCGGGAAATTTACTGTGACCAAATACTGAAAATGCTACAAGCATAGCAACTACGAAACTTTTCTTTTCTTGAAAATTGGTACACAGATGGAAAAACACTTAACAAAACCAAAGCACATAATTGAAGCAGGTTTCCTTTTGGGAATAGTTGTTGATACTAAGTGTAAAAATCTGAATTGGAACAAAATACCGAAGACGGACTGCAACCTTGTCGTATTTTCTGACTTAATTATAGCTTTTTCAGTTTATTAAAAAAAGTATCATGACATGTGAGGGATATTTTTACTTTGTAGTTGAGATATGTACATATATTGTAGTTTATAAGTTTATTACTAGTAACATAACTGTGATTACTCCAACTAACCTATGTATCTAAAGAGTGTAATCAATCAGTTCCTATGTTGTAAATAAGTATGTAAATAATGAATTAATGTGTACATATGTTGAAATAGATTGTTGTTTGTTATCAAACATTAGAATAAAATACATTTTTTGTAATTGTTAATTAAATTAGTTTTTATTTTCTTTTATAACATGAACGAAAATTGTTCTTTTCACAAATAAAATATTGTGGACCGACTGGGACAAAAATTTTGTTGAAATTTTGTTAAATTTAACAAGACTTTTCTTACTGTACAGAAAGAGATGAAGAGAACGAGACAGTGTATCAACGAACAGGTAGAATAGAATAATCAACAGAAAGAATTTTAAGAAAAGAAGACGAACACCCGAATACGAATAATGAAAATTTTTATCCAAAAAGCGTGTTTAAGACATATTATTAATTCCCGTATTCTTTTGAAATATTAATTTTAATGCTGGAGATAA